ACTGAGCCCGGCTTCCAAAATGACTGAACAGTGGTTTATCTAACAGAGTTGATTCTGTACAAACTCACAAAGAATGTGTGTCAGTAGCCTTGGCAGGAGTGCGTTTGATGCTGAAGACAGTAGGAAAAGACGGTAAAATGCTTACAGGGGGGTTTGTGACTACAGTATCACCCCCCCCCCATCCCACTCCCACCACGAATATCTATCGTGTGCTAATCTGCCGCCGTGGAGCCACAGGAAACACATGTCGTGGTTGAGTCTTGGCGTCTGTCATCGCCATCACAACAACAGCATCGTTTCCTTCTGCTGAGCGGTGCAGGATTTTCCACAGGTGCAGGATGAAGCGTGCGGGGGCGAGGGGGGCTTTTCTCTTGTCAAAAGGTTCAGATTTGATGAACACTGCTGAAAGCGGCGACATTTGCGCTGCCATTGTTTGATAACCAGTCCAACCGTCCTGTAGTTTTGCCACCTCTTTTTGCGTACGTACCGTATTTTCCGCACTAAAAGCCTTCCATTTTCTTAAAAGCTCACAGCGCACCTTAAAATCCGATGCGCCTTGTGTAAGGTCATTACGGTAATTTGTCGACCCCCAAAATGGCTCCTTGCTCGAGACATGCTGACAACACAGAGTTCAAACTTAAGGCAATCGGTTACGCAGTTGAACATGGAAATAGAGCAGCGGCAAGAGAGTTCTTGGTTGCTGTTGGTGAAGTGAACTGTGTCGCTGCTTTATTAAATAAAGCATCTGACATCGACATCTGATCGTCGCTCTATAAATCGGGGTGTAGTGTAGTGTAGCGGTCTGTTGGCATTTCTTTGAGCATAGCTCCATCAAGTGGATGCATTGTAGATTGCGTCTTATAATGCGGTGTGTCCAATATATGAAAAAAAAATGACAAAATAAGCCATTCATTGCAGGTGCGCCTCATAATCCAGTGCGCCTTTTAGTGTGGAAAATACGGTAATAAACACCGTTGCTCTTGTCACACAGAATGGACAAATCTTGTCAAGCAATCAACAGGCTAACAAAGTCTCTTTTGGGTTTCTTTGTCACGTTCATTTTTGTGCGCCGCATGAACATGTTTGATGTATTTCAGACAGGAGATTCCAACAAAGGGCTGCGCTGTAACATCTGGCGCACACTTCCGTGTCCTCTATTGTCTCGCTGCTGCAGCTGCCAGCCATACTCCGGGGGACATCACCCGCCCTGAGGCAGTTCAGAACATGTGACTGCAGGCTGACTTGAAGGCCCCGATATGGCTTCGCCGGTGTTATCTGAGAAGCATTCAAAATGTAAATACGGCATTTTCCGCCTGTTCTAGATTTCGACAAGCGGGGTTTGGTAATTTGGCGCAGAGCGTTTCACACTGCTCACACCGACAGCTCGTACCAGGGGTTTTTGAAAGAGCACTCGACCTTGAAAGGGGTAACCGTTCCACGCCAAATTTCTGGTGAATCTCTGCAAAGGTTTCTGCAAATGTCGATGGGAATTGCATAGTTTGTTGGGGTTTTTTTTCATTTCACTTGAGCATGGGCCTATCTGAAGCTTGTCCATAGCTCTAAGCTAGAATTAGACCAAGGGAGGGCTCTTAATTAAGTTCACCTAATAACAGCTGACATAACGTTTCTTGAATTGCTCATTCAATCATTCCCATAGAAAGTTCCCAATGTGGTAAATATCAAAATTTTGCATCCTTCCACTTTAACCCTTTCAGGGACAACGGTTACTACAGTGGACAGCTTATCATGTTATGAGGTTACACCACAGGTGTCAAACTCAAGGCCTGGGGGCCAGATCTGGCCCGCCACATCATTTTATGTGGCCCGCGAATTCAAATCATGTGTGTCAATTTCCATGATCCTTGCTAAAATCTGCACCGAAATGTCGAATTGTTATGTGTAATAATAATGTGAACACTCACTCAAACAATAATGGAACAAACTTTTATAGTTGATTTGACTGATTTAAAAACTGATAATCTATCGATTTGTTGCGTGCAAGTAATAATGTATAAACATTTACTTAGTGTCACTGTCGTAACGGCCTTCCGAGGGAAGACAAAACCTCAAAGTGGCCCGCGACGAAAATGAGTTTGACACCCCTGGGTTACAGGGTGCATGACAGGGTTAAAATGCGTAACTGGTACGCAAAATGCTCACAAGTTTGTCAAGGCTAAGAGCAATTTGACACGGTGCAGTTGTACAGCGCTCCAAACCACAACCACAACAATTAGCATATTGTCAATTAAATAGCTCAGGTTTGGCTGCTTAGCACACGCGCGAGTAAATGTTACACAGATGCCCAAGGCGGCTGTGGCCTTCCTTGTAAAAGCAGGGGAACACACGGCCGCACTTACTCAACAACCTCGTAAAAAACACTTGACATTTGCTACAGCTCTCTAGCTCTCGCTTACTACGTTGTACATTTCGTTTGCGGTAGCTCCTTGACGGCCTAAAGGCGAGCGACTGCAGCTAATGGCCGCGCGGAGCAACACGGCGTGTTTCGACCGCCGGGCCGTGCGAGCCCCGTGGATCGCTTTGCGCCACTCCGTTGTCTGCTAATCAATTTAGGCCCAGCCCTGCGCAGGACGATGAGGCACTAATGATGCTCTGCAGTTTCCCCCCCCCCCCGGGATGGGAGAGGAGGGGACGGCGCATTATAAAGAAGCTACATTATTTATCAGCAGGGTCCTGGACTGGGCATCCATTAGCCCGACCACTCAATGGGGTCACTGGCTATAAATTGAGGAGTGCAGGAAGAGAGAGTGAGGGCGGCAGAAAGGCTTTAATGCTAAAGAGAAAGGGGAGTAAAGTGATAGCGACAGTAATGACACACATCTTACACACTCAGCGGGAACACGACACTATCCGGCGGTCTCGGAAATTAAGACCCTTCAGGCAAAGCGCCGGGCGATTGTGGAAAATAAAATAAGCACCGTTACTTTTGATATGATGTTGAAATGACGATCGATAAACACGATGAGTCATTGATTTCAAAACTTAGAACCGAAACTCAACTTGAAGAACTTCAAACAAGCAGAAAATAATTGAGCAATAAGTAAAATAGTGATAAGGAACAATCAATAAAAATAAATACCTCCCGTTCCTGTTGTGTGCTGCCTTGGCTTCTTTGGGGCAGTGTCGTGGGGTGCATGCGTGGAGACGCACGCCGACACTTTATTAAGATGAAAACAGTAGAATAAAGTCACGATTGAAGTTTATTAAGATAACTCATTTTTACACATTAGGAAGAATATATGCCTACAATTAGTTTTATATTGCCTGACTGTATGTATTTCGGCACCATTTGTGTGTAAAAAAATCCTTACATTTGAATACACACATATATATATATATATATATATACTCTTTTTTTCAGTCTGGATGGTCTTTTAATTTGAAATAAATATTCTATAAAACCATTCAGGAGGATTTCCCATTGACTGGCAGCAATACCCCTGTAGATGGTTCGAAAACAAAGTACGTCTTCGAAATAACTCTTTGCATTGTGATTAGTTTTGTTGAAGCTAAAAACAGTTTTAAAGTTTGTTTAGTATCAGGGGATTTAAAGCAAATCTCAGAGGGGTGGAAAAAAGAGCAAAAATAAAAAAGGCAAAACATTATTTGAATAACGGCACCAGCATCATCATTTTGGTTTTTCGAAGTGAAAGTGGGTTTAACAAATCAATGAACACTGGAAAATTATCAGACTGCTTTATCTTGTCCATCAGAGAGCTCTGCGTTTAAAAAAAACAAAAAAAAAAAAACCCAAAGAAAAAGGTGAATAAGCACTGCGTCTTCTGTTGCAGCTCCCATCCTTCAATTTTGCTTCATCCGTGTCAAAGATGACCAAAATATGATTAGCCTTGACTTTGATTGGGGTCAACCCACAAAACTATACAACACATCAGTATCAAGCGAGCTTTCCCAACCATGCTTGGCCCCCCCGACGTGGGAGTTTGCGTCCTTTTAGGAGGGACACCTCAACGTGACACATGGCGGCATACCCTGTCATCCGGCAAATGTTGTGACTGCCTTGCTCCATGTTGGAATGCTACTAATCTACAATGGAGTGCATTTTAGTCAATGTTTTATTTCACATATCCCGAGACAACTAATCGGGATTTCGGCCACAAAGGAATGACAACTCACTCAGTAAACGAAGGTCAAAATGCAGGTCCTTTAAGTAAGATGATATGCCACCTTCAATGATGTCAGTGCTCACACACTGATTCACTGACACATGATGAACACACACACACACACACACACACACACACACAGGTGCTTTAAAGAGACAAACTAATAGAAATGAACTTAAAATGCCATTTTGGCACAGAAAATGCCACACAATGTTGCCTTTTTGGGCACTGTTCATTTAATGATAGATAGATAGATAGATAGATAGATAGATAGATAGATAGATAGATAGATGTTTCTGTTAAAATATAAGGCTTGACGAATTTTCATGTTGGCATCCATTTTGTGTCGGAATAAATTTGATTGATTACTTTTCACGTGAGCATCCATTTTGTTCCATGCCAACGTTTGCAACTATTCTATATATCAAGATTTTCCAACACTGTGATCCAATAAAGAAGCCACAGACGTCAGGAGATGACTAAATCAAGTTTATATAACTCAAAGTCAAAGCGGTCTGGGGTTGCTTAATTGAGTGTCGTTTAAAGGTGTTATGATGCTTTGAAAGTTTACCTGGCAGATATTCAAGTGACTTTACCACGGAAATTAGAACCACTGTTGTTGACGTTGCTGGAGCAACATTTTAAATTAAATCCCACTTAAAACGAGGATGAATGTGGAACGACGGAGGGGGTGAAAAGAAGGAAAAGTTTCGTGTTGTTGCCGCCGCTGGGAAGCGTTAACGCTCGACTCGGGAACAAACGCAGCGCAAATGACAAGTAAGAGAGAAAATACACATTAAAAGTTGTTTTGGGGCGGTTTAAGTGCCATAAAAACATTTAAAAGAAGGTTGACGTTACCTTGAACGTGTGTGGAAGCAGCAAGCTGGCTCTCTCCTCCTCACGGCGGCGTGATGCGGCCTGGCGTCAGCGAGTCGCGGGGCCTCATCACCCTCCGCCCGGGCGCCAGTATCACGCCGCCCGGGCCGCCTTCCACAATAACAAGACCTACTTTTTTCCATACGCATCCCGAAAGCTTCTTCTCGGTCTCATTCACGTCGTAAACGTTATGCAACTTTGGCTCTCACTCCTGGCAAAGTTTTTAGTGGTTGGCCCCGTTTTGGAGTTTTTTTTTTCACCCCTCCCTGTTTCGTGGTTAGTAGCCGTTTTAAAAGCAAACATTTCAATGTGGGATGAGCAGTCTTGTGCATGGAGGGCGCCATGTGTTTTTTTGTTTTGTGTTTTCCCTCCTTTTCAAACTCACATGGAATTAAAAACAATGCAAAGATAAACCCAGACAGCCTAAAATAGATACGCGGTGTGTTCCCTTTGGGTGCTTTCACGTCGTCTCCATTCTCCTTGCAAGTGTTTTCATTTCTTATTTGTGTGTCCTCTACTACAGGACTCTTGATAAAAGCTTGGTGGCCCGCGGACACACTTTGCCCACCCTTGCTTTATGTGGAGCCCTCCAGATGGATAATGTGGGCGAAGTCTTCGATATCAAGAGTGAGAGACTTCTTCAAAGCATCTCATTAATAATGCAGGCTAAAGGGCAAGGGAGGAGTGCCTTGGAAATGAGCTAAATCAAGCCACATAGTACGATTTTGAGACAATATAAACTTATTTGGCACACTGTTATTGCATTCCCAATCAAATGGTTATATAACTTAACTTTATTGGCAGTGTGCATCAAAAACGTGAGTTTAAGAGTAATCTCGATGCATGTGGAGGTGTATCGAATGACATGCCGGATAGATCGACGGCGGCGTATCAAAGTTCCATGAAAAGAAATGAAAGTTAGCACGATTGTAAATGATGCCGGATTAATACAATCGCAATGCTTCTTGGGAGTTCAACGCTCGAGGGTGGAGGGAACTAGTTTCTCTCGGGGACGCGGAGCTCCTGCTGCAGATGACGTCACGCGGCTGGCGACAGCATGTCTGAGTGAGGCGGGAACGCGCTGCACGTGAAATTTAAAAAAAAGAAAGAAAAAAGGAGGCGGAGCAAGAGATGACGAAGGCAGAATTTCATCCTTTTTTTCTCTCACGTTTGTCTTTCTAATTGTTACCCACATGCAATGATTCATATGCTATCTTGCAGGGTTCCACTACAGCAGAAATTCCCCACCACCGACCCCCCCAAAAAATCAATAAAATAAAAACAAATAAAAATAAAAACGAATACACCCGCCCTATCCTAAAAGTACCAATAAAAATAGGAGTCCTGACGACGACTATTGACACAATCTGTCAAAGTCAAACTGTGGCTGTTAGAAAACTTCCCATTTGTACAGGAAATGTTTTCAAGGAACATTTCATACCAAATTGCTGTTCATTTTCTATGCAACTCACCAGATTCATTGGTAGCTCACCAGACAATGCTATATTCTTCTTCCTCTAAATCCCCATGTTGTAAAATATGACACGCTTGAGAAGAGCATCGACACCCCCAAGTTAGACCCCCATAGAGAGGGTCGTCTTCCCAGTGTCGCAGTGTTAGGGTGGGCAGCAGCATCTGACTGACAGCAGCTGTCATAGTCACATGTGGCTGGGACAATAAACACACAGCACCTGCCAGTCAAGACTCTACTGGGAGTGAAGTGGGGTGGGGGTTAAACCAACACTAGGTTCGCAAAGGGGGTGGGGGGGTCATATGATGGTGTAACTGTATCTTTATCAGATGTCCTTCACACTACAGGTGTGTATCCTGTATTTATATTTACTGGTCTATAGCCTATTCATTTTTTTAGAGCATCCGGCCTGAGATCAACATTGTGAGTGACCGAGGTTAAACTAACAGGGGTGCAATGGAGTCACCAAGGTCACCCTTCCCTGCTCTGTGGGATTCACGATTGGTGTTTATCCCTGTACTGGAATGTAAATGGTAAAGTCTTGATTGCCCATCAGAAAATGACATTTTAAGGATGTTCAATATCACTTTTTTTCCACTTTGACCTCTAGTACTTTTGATGTATAAAATGTCATTTTACATGACAAAAACAGAATTGTGACCAAAACCTTTCTGACGCAGACGGTGATTCACCAATTACCAAACTGCCGTAGCATAGCATCAACTATTGCTGTTACTCAATGTCAGATTTTGTTTACTTTAAATCTCGGTGGCCGATATATCTGCAGGCACCAAGGCTACCCATTCCTTAAAATAAGGCTAGTATTGGCACTAATACCGATACCTGATATCGATACTCGCCCATCCCTATGTAAAACCATAATTCTTTGAATGAGCACTTTAACTGAGTGTTCCTGGTTTAAAAAATATATTTATTCTATCAGCATTAGACATTGATATTATTTAATAAAAACAGGATTGTTAAAATGAAACATTTATATCCACTATAAACTTGTCCGTCATCATTTTATTACCATGTGAGACAATGGGCAGTAGTAAGGTTGAAAACTAAATTAGCTCTGACAGTTTTTTTATATTTAGAACCTGTATTCAGTTGTGTGGACCACTTATTTCTGAACTCATCCTCTTGTGTGTGTTAGAATTCCAACTGACTCAGAGGGGGATGGGATGGACACAAAGGATGATCAGTGAGGATGATGTCACCCATCCCCAAACCGTGCCTGAGGTCATGTGACCAGGGTAGATGATAGATGACAACAGGATTGCATAGAGGCAGACACACGAGTGCTGTGGGGTGTCATGCTCAATAAAGACTCCACCAGTCACCCCACCTCACTGTGCTTGTTGCCAACAGAAAAGGGTGACATTACAAATCACGTGCATTTTGCATTACAAATTGTATTTTTACATTAGATATAGGCTACAGTGGACCCCCACTATTCACAGCTAAGAGGGATATTATAAACGCATTGAAAAAAAAATCCCAAAGGACATAGAGTATATTTGTATGACCTATTCTTTAAAAAAATGGTTAACTGCCAACAGTTGGTTTTCGTGAAAAAACAACCATCAAAAAAAAACATAGAACGTTAAACAATATAAACAAATTAAAAGACACCAGCGAATACTTGAAACACGGGTGCCGAGCCGCAAGTATGCGGTAGCCAGTGTACTATGTAAAAAGAGAGCATGTGGAAGGTCATTTCCATTCACTGTAACAAATATTGTCGGTGTACGCCAATTTTCTTATTCGTTGACTTTGTCTAGTCCGCCATCTTGTGGCAAGATGACATCACGTCCCCTTTTTACGTGACGTGATCAGTTTTACATCCATCCATGATACGAAACGCTGATTTAGATGGTTTGTTTAGAAAACTTGGGTGTTTTACATTTGTGAGAATAAATACCACAGTGGAAAAGAAACAAAGGCTAATTTTTTATTTTTTGTCTGGAATAAGGCTAGTTAGAAACGAAGTACAACATTAACATTAAATATTGACAGTATACTGTTTCTTTTGAAGTTGTCGAACTGATCTGGAAAGTTTTCGCACTTTTCCGATAGAAACTCATCATATGCTGTACATAATATACTACATACAGGTATGTACATAATTGCCGCACCTGTTTTTAACCTGTTATAAAGCTTACAAAGGATGTTCTTTTAGTAATTTTAGTGTTTATTTCTTTATTTTGCTTTGAAATGTGTAACTCTAACTCTTGTTTGCAAATGCTTTGGAATGTTACATTTAACTATGTGAAGCGCATAGAATACAAATAAATCTGTTTTGCCTTGCCATTTAATCGTCACATGATATAACGTAATATTCTATGTAAATAGTTACCACATACTTATTTTATTTGTTAATTATTTTACTCTGTTGTGTGCAGCCAGGTAGGCAATTGCAAGTGCGAATCTACCTGGACTGGATAAATAAAGGTTAAACGAATGCATAATGCTGGACAGTTGGAGGACTGTCAATCTTATAGTCGACAAAAAACATCAAGTATTTAAGATGCTTCAAAATAGTTAAATGTCGAGAGCTCAGTACCATCGAAACAATCTACATTGAAGCATTTCTTAAATTTTGATGGTGTCTTCGGTACTGGTCGTCTAAAACTCAATACCGGAGAGTTCATGATGGCGATGATATGAACCACCCGCAAACGACCGCAAGATGTCACCCTTGTACCTGTAAAATGTCATCCAAAAGGGAGCCTTCTGGTTTGGTCTTGTTGGCAAGCACCTGCTTGGACTCCAAACAAAAACACTGGAAAATCCAACACAGCTTGCCAAATGATGTAAACACTGCTGTCATTTTAATATCAATAAAAATGCTCAACGGGCATGCACGGAGGCCAAGAGAAGAGTCATATATCTGCTCGCATCAAAACCTCAACGATGCAGCGGTTTGGGGTTTTGTGGTTCAAGTCGCGGAGTTAATTGCGGTCCAGCAATCACAGAACATATCAACAATAACTGTGTTTGTGTGTAAACACTCCCTGTCAGTCCGTGGATGTGAAAGCAAACAATCCACGCGAGGAGGCTTGGAGCGTGCCGCTGTGATCCGGGTGGGCCAAAGTGCACATGAAGGCAACGTAACACATGACCACCATGTCAACTCACCGCAAAGCCCTCCCCGATCCCACTACTGAAAAGGAGTTGGCTGCAGTCAGCGGGTGTGATTTCGGGGCTCGGACAAACTGCCAGGAGGTAGTGGCAAGCCAGCCAGCGAGCCTCTTTTTTGACATTGCCGTCACCATGGCCAGCCTGTGAGTTGTCACATGCCAATCTCGTGAGACTTCGGCGTATCCGGCGGGAGCTCAATAAATTCAGCAAGACTTTGGTATATCATGAGATCTGGGTTTTTATTTATCTTCGGACTCATAAGAATTCAAATGTCTCGCAAAACCTAGGGCAAATTTCATGAGACTTAAATAGATCTCGTGAGATTTCAGCACAGCACAGCACATGAGGATTTTGATTAATCTCGCGAGAATTCCCGAGCGGATTTTCATTTCTCTCACGAGGCTTCATTAATTTTAAATTGCACAAGGATCACTGGGGACTCCGGTATCGCTCATAAAACTTGAGTAAATCTTGTGAGACTTCAGA